TATACAGGATGATTCAGAAAGGTATACAACAACATATACCATTAATTAGAGGGTCGAAAATGGGTAAAACTTTTGTTCCGGAGTAGGTGCGAAAACCCTTGAGTTTCGAGATACAGGTTTTTTAACGAATTTTCACGAAATTTCTAGTTATCTAAGCTTTTTTGATGATAACTTCCGTTCCGAAAAAGATAGGAGGCTCAAACAAACAGTTTCTGAAAGATCTAGTAAAGAACTTAAAATAAACTTGTTACTTGATTATGTATTTTGTGTAGTTTCGGAATACCAATCATTCGAACTTTAGCAAAAATAAATTTTTTTTTTTTCACTTTTTTTATTTTTTCAATTTTTTTTAAGCACGTACTTTCGATTGCAATTTTTTTTTACAGAATTTTGGCCACTTTCTCAAACCTTAATTTTAGTCACTTAGTGTTGAGAAATCTTTTATGGTACAGAAGATATAGCACGAAAACCATTTCTATGTCAAGATTTTAAGGACCCTAATAAAAAATTTTTCAATGGTTGATACTTTTTCCGAAACATAATTCTTTTTTTAGCACTTTTCCAAAAAATTTTTTGAAAAAAGTGCTTATTAGTTTCACTCTGTCCGTCCGTCCGTCCGTCCGTCCGTCCGTCCGTCCGTCCGTCCGTCCGTCCGTCCGTCCGTCCGTCCGTCCGTCTGTCCGTGTGTCTGTTTACAAAACTTCTACACCTTTGAAGATAGAAAGCTGAAATTTAATACGTACATAGATCTTCACTAGAAACTTATTTCCGTAGAACAAAATTTTTACCTATCTCCCCCCCTCTAGAAGTTATACCCCCCCAAAACCCTAAAAATGGCCTTTTTTAAATATTTGTTGCAATGAAACCATAAGCATTTTTGAAATTTTGCAAACGCAGAAAGGCAGTGGCTTGCTTCCCCTTGCGCGGTATACTATAGTTCAACTTAAGAAAAACAAAATGGCCTCTCAAATTTACCGTTATTTAAAGTCCTTTTTTTCCAAATTTTTGATGTCGTTTTTCTTCTAGACCCCAGACTGTAGAAGCTTGAAATTTTAGGAGCTTTTAGATATTAATAAATAGTTCATTTTTTAGAAGAAAATTTTTTTCCATCTCCACCCCCTCTCAAGTTATCACCTCTTGAAATTCGTAAAATTTGAATTTTTGACACCTTATATTTCCGAAACCGCAAGCTTTTCCAAATTTTTATAAACGCAAAAAGCTAACGGTAAATTCCGTGAAATTAAAAAATATAATTATTTTTCTTAACTCACACAATTAACCCTTAAAATCGAACATTATGTTAACCCCTTTTTATATTAATTTTTGCTTTATTTCAAAGACTGCATATATGCGTCATCCTAAATATATGCAATCCTAGAAATAGTTTCGTATATGAATGAAAATAATTTTAATAGTGTGATAGGTATACATAGACCGTATTTAAAAGCAGAATTTTCACTTGTTGAAGGGAAAAGTGCTACAATACAAACCATTGGTTTGACCCAACTTTATTTTTTTTTTTATTGGTATGAAAAGAAAACTTCTTTTTATTCGGAATAAAAAATATAAATAGCAAAAAATAAAAAAGTATTTTATTCCGAATAAAAGGAAGTTTTCTTTTCATACCAATAAAAAAAAAAAAAGTTTGAAAGTTTTTTTTTTAATTATACATATATTCTGTTAAAAATAGTCAGAAAAGATTTTCCAAATTAATATTTATTAAATAGACAGTAGTTCTTAATTACCGACCGTATTGTGTAAACAATAGGTAGGTTATGTGATGGCAACAAATTTTGCATATCGAGTTTTCGGTGGGAACGTACTTCTCCATAGTAGGGAAGTGTAAATAAACTATTTTTAGCAACCTGTCGGTCTGTCGGTCTGTCCGTCTGTCGGTCTGTCGGTCTGTCGGTCTGTGTGTGCACACGTGTATCTCAAGTTCGGCTGAACCGATTTTGATGAAATTTTATATGTAAGTTTGTTTCCACCATGGCACGGATCGATCAACTTTTGGTATATATCCGGCCTCGGGAACTGCACTTTTTAGCGGGCCTGTTTTACATTTTTGAACATTTTGAAGAAAATATTCAACCGATTTCATTGAAATTTTACATATAAGCTCAGCTCGACCGTCCGCAAAAATTCGTATGTTTTGGAAGAAATCAGGCATCGGCAACTAGACGTTTACTACGGGCCAAATATACATTTTTGTGTATATAAAGAGAAATAATGAACCGATTTCATTGAAATTTAATATATGAATTCCCCGTATTAAAACAATGAACATGTAAATTTTTTGGAAAGATCAGGCATCGGCAACTAAGCTTTTAACTACGGGCCAAATATACATTTTTGTGTATATAAAGAGAAATAATGAACCGATTTCATTGAAATTTAATATATGAATTCCCCGTATTAAAACAATGAACATATAAATTTTTTGGAAAGATCAGGGCTCGAAAACGGATTTGCTGGCCGATTTTACATTTTTCACCATTTTGAAGAAAGTATTCAACCGATTTACTTGAAATTTCATATATAAGCTTTGCTCGATCATACGCAAAAATTCCTAACTTTTGGAAGAAATCAGGCATCAGCAACTGGGCGTTTACTACGGGCCAAATATACATTTTTGTGCATATAAAGAGAAATAATCAACCGATTTCATTGAAATTTAATATATGAATTCCTCATATTAAAGCAATGAACATATAACTTTTTTGGAAAGACAGCAGTTAACCTGAGGTATGAAGGTAACGGAAATTATTATGAGGTGTGGAAAGTAGCGGAAGTTATTATGATAGGAAAACCGGGGAAACCCTTAAATGAGGCAAAGTCATATAGACCTATTTCTCTACTACCAATGATATCAAAACTTTTCGAAAAATTGTTTTTAACAGTAATAAGTATTCTAGTCCTGTATTATACGTGCTTTATACAAGCTATTTGCTAAATTTAGAAGGTGTAACTTTGGCTACGTTTGCCTATAATACAGCAAAGTTTGCAGTGGGATCAAGGGTTGAAGAATCGACAAAAAAGTTACAGGGAGCAAAAACGTGGAAAATAAGGTTAAATGAAAGTAAATCTATACATGTAAGTTTCACAAACAAAAATTTATTGAACCCACCATAATTGAGTTTGAATGGCGCTAAAATATCAATTCAAAACACGGCGAAATACCTAGGTATGACTTTTGTTGTCAAACTCAGACGGAAAGAACATATAAAGAAAAAAATAGAATTAGAAAACACATATAGAGAAAACTATTGGCCCCTAAGTCGTGGGTCTGGATTGTCAACATATAATAAGGTGTTAATATATAACCAAATGATAAAGCCTATATGGACGTATAGCTTAAAGCTATGGGGTTGTGCCAAATAAACACACAACAAACAAATGCAAACTTTCCAGAACAACGTCCTTCGTAATATGGTGGGTGCTCGTATGTGCGCAATAGTGATATTCATAGGGATCTGGGTGTCCCCCAAGTAAGTGAGGAAATAAGGAACTGTGCCATGAAAGACAGAGCACGTTTGGAACAACATGTAAATGTCGAGACTTATAGGGGATAGAATTTGGACAAAAGACTGAAGTGAACGAGAGCTCACGAATTAGCTAAAGTGCTTTGGCAACACCTCCGTGCTTTCCTTCACAAAAGCACTATAGAGTAAAACTAATGATTAGTCAGTTTGATTAGTGTTAGGAGTTTATAACCATCCAAGTGCGTTTTAGGCTGGGTTAAAGTTCCCCACTATTGATAGGTTTGATGACAGGTTGGGCCTGCCTATCTTTGCTTTTTTTTTAACACCTTAATTAACTAAATTAAAAAATTAATTATTTTAGGTTGTTAATATTTTTTTCATATTTATTTTTCTTAGTTTTTTAATATCTAATATTATGAATATGTATTATAAAAATGACTTGTATATTATAAATAAGTATTGTATATTAAGTTATAATATTGAATATAATTTCAATGATTATCTAACCGGGGTTTGAACTGGCCCGTGTATGTATGGCCTATCTTAATACTAAATGCAAAAGGATAAAATTTATATTTGCTTAGATACTATTTGCCAAAATAAAAAAATATTCAAATCCGAAAAACCAAAGTCTTTTCCAAAACATTTTCAATAACTTTTTTACTTAGGTAATTGATATATTAAGTTTTTAAAATTTTTGTCAAATAAAAATAGAACTAAAATTTTATAGTAAAAATAGAAAAAACTACATATTGCTGCTTTCGACATAGTCAACGTGATCGCCATTCGATAGTTATCAAGCGTTCGGCGCTGCAACTGACACATGTCATTGTAATCCAAGTCTAAATTATCATCAATGTTTGTCAAAGTTTTTTTTATGGTAAGTATTTGGTTTTGATTATTTTAAGTTAGATTTCAGTAGGCAGTTGAATTCAAAGATGGAACAAATCTATTCCGAGAGCAGCGATACTTCGTAAGTATTATTTAAAAAAAATGTCCACAGTGTTATGTAAATGGTTTTCCCAAACTAAGAGCGGATTGTCCTCTTCTGATTTTATAAAAAGGCTCTAACTGCATAAAACGTTACTGTAAAAAGAGAAATTGATGTAATCGTTATATTGTTTCTACATATAAAACAAATAAATAAGTTACATTAAGAGAGGCTTTAGGCATACGAAAATGTGAATTGAACGCTGCACATCGAATATCCTTATGACTTTAATATATCCCTGTACTTTTCGAATGAGAGATGTCGGTTGCAATTTTTCTTTTTGCATCAAACTTAGTAACAAAAGGTTATGTTTTTTATTTATTCTCTTCTAATACTTTTTACAACTCTGTTTCTTTTTTTTTATTAATTCGCACACAGTAGTTACAATATTTAATAACCCCGGAACCATATTGATATTTTAATTTTTAAACTTTTCGAAATTGCGTTCGTCAAAATCACATGGCAATCAGTACCTATATGACAATTGCAACTATGAAATAGATCGTTACTGTAATTTAATGCGTCGAATGGCCATCATTTTGAATATGCCGGAAGCAGCCTATAAAATTTGTTTTGGTTAAATAATATTTAATTGTTTTTTATATATTTTTTTCTAATTTCCTCTTCATGTTCTTTTGCTATGTATTTATATCAATATTTAATAAATATTCTTTCATTAATTATGTTTTCAACTTTACACTACAGTTACTTCCCATATCTTGAGTTAACGTACCCTATGAGAAAAAAAGCTCTTCACTTTAATATAACAAAATTAATAAAAAAACTTAAATAATAAAATGCTTTCCGCACCACATAAAATGTCGAAGGCGTAGATTGTGTTTGTAGTTTTTCCGCTTTTTAATATCTGTTTTAAGAATTTAAAAAAAAGGAGTTTATGACTATACGCAGTCTTATTTATGGCACTATTGTTTTTTTGTACACTATTATATTACAAAGGCATAAAAATTATCTAATGCAGTTAAATACGCAATATTCATATTATGTTGCTCTTTGTTTCTGCCATAGCTTGAAGTATTGGGTATAAAACTTATAAAAAAACCGGAAATGTTGTGCAAATATTTGTGTAAAATTTATGTGTCATGAAAACATGAAAAACATATGCGTGTATATCAAAACGATATAATATTATATAGGTCCGACGTATATTGAAGACTACTTATTAATAAAAAAAAAAGATGAGAAGTAACATAAAAAGTAACAAACAGTAAAAAGTTCTATTTTGATTGCAAGTGTTTCTGATAATCGAATAAAAGAACTTTTCTTTAAAAATTAGAAATTTCAATCATAACAAAAGAATAAATAGGTTTTAAAAGTTTTTTTTTTAATTATACATATATTCTGTTAAAAATAGTCAGAAATTGAATTATTAAATAGACAGTAGTTCTTAATTACCGACCGTATTGTGTAAATAATAGGTAGGTTATGTGATGGCAACAAATTTTGCATATCGAGTTTTCGGTGGGAACGTACTTCTCCATAGTAGGGAAGTGTAAATAAACTATTTTTAGCAACCTGTCGGTCTGTCGGTCTGTCCGTCTGTCGGTCTGTCCGTCTGTCGGTCTGTCGGTCTGTGTGTGCACACGTGTATCTCAAGTTCGGCTCAACCGATTTTGATGAAATTTTATATGTAAGTTTGTTTCCACCATGGCACGGATCGATCAACTTTTGGTATATATCAGGCCTCGGGAACTTCACTTTTTAGCGGGCCTGTTTTACATTTTTGAACATTTTGAAGAAAATATTCAACCGATTTCATTGAAATTTTACATATAAGCTCAGCTCGACCGTCCGCAAAAATTCGTATGTTTTGGAAGAAATCAGGCATCGGCAACTAGACGTTTACTACGGGCCAAATATAGATTTTTGTGTATATAAAGAGAAATAATCAACCGATTTCATTGAAATTTAATATATGAACTCCTCGTGTTAAAACAATGAACATATAAATTTTTTGGAAAGATCAGGGCTCGAAAACGGATTTGCTGGCCGATTTTACATTTTTCACCATTTTGAAGAAAGTATTCAACCGATTTACTTGAAATTTCATATACAAGCTTTGCTCGATCATACGCAAAAATTCCTAACTTTTGGAAGAAATCAGGCATCAGCAACTGGGCGTTTACTACGGGCCAAATATACATTTTTGTGCATATAAAGAGAAATAATCAACCGATTTCATTGAAATTTAATATATGAATTCCCCGTATTAAAACAATGAACATATAACTTATTTGGAAAGATCAGGGCTCGAGAACTGATTTGCGGGCCGATTTTACATTTTTCACCATATCCACAGAACAAATTGATGGAATTTCTTGAAATGTGATATTTGAGTTCTGGTTGTTACCGAAACTAAATGGCGAGCATTTCAGGGAATTCGGGTAGCACAAAGCGAAACTCTACTAAGAGCCAAATTTACATTTTTCTAAGTATGTTAACTATAAGCTTACTAATGTCCTAAAAATTGGAAAGAAGTATTTAACAGACATTTTTATAATATTCTGTAACACTTTCATTTAACTAGACAATACACAATGCGGTCGGTTATGTGCTGACCACATCAGATTTTTTTTTTATATTCTCGTTATTTATTATTTTTTACTTTTTATAAATTTTACTATTTTCATATATTTTATTATTTTTTACTTTTGATGAACCTTAAGCAATTTTAATTTTTAAAATTATTAAAACTACAGACTTATTGAATTCGGCAGTTTCTGTCTTTGCATGTCTGATTTTATTCTATTTTTATCTTTTTCCCCATTACAATTTTCCCAAAGTTAAATAGCTACAAATCAAACATTTTACGTTATATTACATACACTACATTGTGACTTCAAAAATGCAGTACAAAAAGTTTTAAAACAGTTTTAATACAGTTTTACTACCGCCGCAAAGCTTTTAATACCACTGCGTTGTATTAAAAATACGAAAGCTTTTACTACCTTTTTGAACATGAATTTGACGATCTATAAACTTTTTGACGTTTAGTAATTTTCAAAAACAGTTTTCTAAAAACAATAATATTATAAAATTAATCTTTTCAGAGTAAAATTAAAAATAAATGAATAATGAATTTTTTAAATTTATTGGATTGCAATAGCTTTAATCAAAACAGCAATTTAATAGAAATTAAAAAAATTTTAAACAAAAGAAGAAAAAAGAGATGTGCTCTCCTTTGTAATATTGTAAAACCAAACAAACTAACAAGGAAAATTCCAAAAATAATAAATTTCGACCAAATTATTCAAAAATATCCTGATGACGTATTTTTCAGTCATTTTCGAATGAGCACAAAGACAAATAATTGAAGGGTTTGAAAATAGTCGCTGCCGTCCTTTGCCAAACACCATAGGATGCATTGATGGTATGCATATACGAATTAGCAAACCTATAAAAGATCCAATAAGCTTTTATAATCGCAAGGGTTTACCCTGCTTCTTCCATTTTCAAAGAACAAATCCAAATGTAACAAAAGTTGTTGAAAACTTTCAATTAGAATATAAAAATGTAATGTCACACACAAAAATATTACTTTTGCTTTTACATAATGAACGTTACCAAAGTTTAAAAAAAAATAGCTCATTATACTAAATTTTAGAAAAAAACTGGACGGCTTACAATTTTCTGTCAAAAATTAGCTTTTGTTTATTTATTATTTAACACTGGTAACATATTTATGACATGTATATAAAATGCAGCCTAAATTTTTTCGCTACTCTCTCTGCTTTTATTTTACGTATCCACTACATTTATTTTACATTTTTGAATATGATACAACGTCAAGAGCTTTTATAATACATTTTTGAATATGATACATTGTAGCAAATACGTTTTTACTGCATTTTTGAAGTCACAAATTATATTTTCTTTTTTTGCAATGAAAACGTACAGTAAGATATACTAAAATTTATTTATTTATTGTATATATATACAGTATACAGGGTGATTCAGAAAGGTATACAACAACATATACCATTAATTAGAGGGTCGAAAATGGGTAAAAATTTTGTTCCGGAGTAGGTGCGAAAACCCTTGAGTTTCGAGATACAGGTATTTTAACGAATTTTCACGAAATTTCTAGTTATCTAAGCTTTTTTGATGATAACTTCCGTTCCGAAAAAGATAGAAGGTTCAAACAAACAGTTTCTGAAAGATCTAGTAAAGGACTTAAAATAAACTTGTTACTTGATTATGTATTTTGTGTAGTTTCGGAATACCAATCATTCGAACTTTAGCAAAAATAATTTTTTTTTTTTTCAGAATTTTGGCCACTTTCTCAAACCTTAATTTTAGTCACTTAGTGTTGAGAAATCTTTTATGGTACAGAAGATATAGCACGAAAACCATTTCTATGTCAAGATTTTAAGGACCCTAATAAAAAATTTTTCAATGGTTGATAATTTTTCCGAAACATAATTCTTTTTTTTTTTTTTATTGGTATGAAAAGAAAACTTCTTTTTATTTATTTTCTTCGTATTTTATTCCGAATAAAAGGAAGTTTTCTTTTCATACCAATAAAAAAAAAGGACCCTAATAAAATCTAAAAAACCAAAAAATTGTCATTATTTTTGATGTTTATTAATTTTAAAAGCCATATTTATGATTTACTATCAATTTCTTAATGCACTATCATTCCAAAAACCGTTAACACTTTTAAAGTAACATAGTTGTAAATGTAAGTAGCCGTTTGTTTTAAAGTGTCCTTTGTTATTTTTAAATCTAACTTGTCTTCATATTTATTCCCAAGGCGCAACATTCTGTTTCCGGCTCATGTATAGCATAATAAACTCCACAAAAGAGTGTCGCAAAAAGATTCGGTGAGAATTTTAAAATAAATTAAAGAACAAAATCGATTAACTAACAAATCTTTTAAACAATCAAACGATTAACTAACAAATCTTTTAACAAATTAGGAGCTCACTGCTCAACATGGAAACCACATCATTCACAGAAATGAATAAAAATGGCTCTCATGACTGCCCTGGGGTTCGGCCAAACTTGCATAAATGATGGCGGGACAGATAAACGAAAAATGACCCTTATTCTTGTAGGGTATATCGGCAAAAAAGACCCTGTAAGAATAAGGGTCATTTTTCGTTTATCTGTCCCCACTAAGTATAATTTTATCCAATTTATATATGCAATAAATTTTGACGAAAACCTTACAGCCTTAACTTCAAAATAATTTTTTCGTGAGGAAGAAGTTAAAACTTTACTGAAATTAGAATAAATAACGTCAGTCTGATGCTCATCTTCCATGTTATTAGTAAAAATTGAAGTTGTCCCAAACATGTTAATACAATGATCGAATAAGGAATCATGTAACATCAATTCGAAAATTTTCGAGAACGGCAGGTAATATCTACTGGTCTTATAAAATCTTCTTTAGAGACGCATGGAAAAACTTTCGACGAATATGATTTATTTAAAGTTAAAGCCAAGGGGCAACCAGCGATTCGGAACAATTTTTTAAAATTATCTCAGGATGTCATATGATAAGGAAGAAAACATGAGCCAAATATTTTTTAACAATATACATTTAGTACGAAAACCCGAAAAGGTAGTCCTACGATAAGTACTGACGTGTTGGAAAATATCGGGATTTACCGTGAAACAAGAAGAAGCATATGAATTAGCCTTTTTATAAAATCAATAAAGTATGTTCAAAAAAGTTCACATATTTTATTTGAATTATCATTAGAATTAAAAAAATTCGGGTAACTATCGCATTTTCTCCTAAAATTTATGAAATCCTAAAAAATGTTGGGATTATAAGCAAACAACCAATCACCAAAAAATTTATTTCGTGTTTTGAACAAACTAGGAAGGAGTTGACTTAACATGCTGTTGTATAGAATAAACCATTTTGGAAATTCGATTTTCTATATACTATTAATATCTGGTGAGTTATATCTTACCCTTGCCAAGAAATACTTCATTTCTTACCCTTAACTAAGAAAGCCCCGAAAATGCAATAATTTTTTTTCATTTCTTATGATTTCAACATTTTTGCATCCTTTTATTAAAACAAAGTGACAATATTAGATTGAAATGACAAATGTGATTGAAGCCTCAATTTTTTATATTTTTGGAAAAAACATTACACCAAAATAATGGTTTCGTTTAAAAATTGAAGTGACCAATTAGATAAAACTCACACACTTCACTTTTTTCTTTTAATAAAGTGAATTTTAACAGTGACATATGACATGAGCCCCTTAAATATTCTTGATTTTTTTGCTTTGTTTTTCTTTCACAAATTTCACAAAATGAGAAATATTACAAGATTTGGCAGCACTGGTTGGGTATTTTTTATATAAATTACCTCATGCATGTATAACTTTAATCAAAACACATCTCTCAGTATTTCACTTTGTTTAATTTGATTTACAAATTTTATAAGCGTGTTTTGCATATGTAATTAGTTTGCTACACTTAGGTAAAATACATCATTTAGCTGTAAATAATATAAACGTTTTGAATACAAAAAATTAATAAATAAAAGCTTATGTTCGAACTTTGTTTCTAATGCCTTTTAGATGGAGCAACAAAATTACATTGGTCGTTTCTATGGTGATGATGATGATGATGGTGTCTCTTATTCCGACTGAAATTATAATAAAAAAAGTTATTTATTAATGATATTACTCAATATCTTTGCAATATTTACGGATAATATTGTTGAAAAAAACACAAGAAAATTTTAGCCTATGTATTGAGTTAGTTTTAGTGCAGTACATAACATTTAGGCATGACAAAGTTGCCGTATGCTCAATTGCATTACAAAGGCTGGACAATCAACTTTACGAGGAGGAACAGTATTGCACAGGTTTAGTTTATTTTTTAATTCCAAAGGAAAGGAACCAAGAAATATATTGTTGAACATTTCGAGGATTTGCAGGATCTTTACTATGTTGTACATATGTGAAATATATGTTGCATAAATAAGGTCAACCCTGGTATCTCCACAACTAAATGTGAAATTAATTGCAAGAGTAAATGTTAACTTAAGTACATATTGTAAGAGTAAATACTTAACATAGGAAAATAAATTTATTCCTCTTTCTTATTTCGGTAGTATGACATATGATCAGTTTGTATTAATATTTTTATAAAGAACATATGCCTTTCCTTTTCAATTAGGTCATTCAATTGTCGGTTTTTCAATAATTTAACTTCAAGTTGTTCGTTGGAGCATGTTTTTCTGACGTTTGCTTTAAATTTTAGCGCAGAATGTAGAATAGTTTTTGCACAAATATCTTATCTCATCATAGGCTATAATATCACGAAGTGTTAAGGCATAATCGGGAACCACGTAATCGCTACAATTTCCGATTTTTCAATTTCTTTATTTGTTCCCTTCTCTTCTTTCCCAATAATTTTTACTTCGCCCCAATTTTTCGGTAATGTCATTTGACATTTTAAAATTAATGAGCACTTGAGGAAGTACCTTTACTTGTGGAGACTAGATACAAAAGTGTGCCTATTCCATCAGAAGTGATTTTGAGAAAAACGAAAAAAACGTTTTATAACAATACGAAACACAGTAGAAGGAATTGTGATGGTTTTTTTTGATTGAAATAGGCTTTAAAATAAATTTGAAAAAGGAAAAATACTTTGACTAAAATTTAACGAAAATATTGATAAATATTAAATGGAAAAGAACAGTTTTGTCTAACAATTTTGGAATAGAGTTAGTTATGGAAATGACAATATTGGAATAAACAAGTTTTGTTTAAAAAAAAATTTTATTTGTACGTTTTATTTTTTATAATTTTTATTATTTTGATAGCTTAACACCATTTTAGTTTCAAAGTGAGAATAGTAAATTTCAATATGAGAATAGCTAAAGTAAAAATTAAAAAAGTAAGCCTTGCGATTTTTTATTTAAATTTAATTTTAAAATAAAAAATCGCAAGTAAACCTTGCTTTTCTTATTTTTTTCTTTAGCTATTCTCATTTTGAAATTTACTATTCCATAATATGGACAATATTATTGTCTCATTATAAAATCACAATTAATTCACAACCAAATCACAAATTCAATGGAAATATGAAAAAAAAACAATAACGTTAATATTCAAAATACATTAACATAAAATTAACAGCAATTATTCATTGCACATATGAATTTAACAGTTAACTTAAAATTCTGTCATAAAGCTATTAAAAATGTAAAAAAAAACTTAAACAATAAATTGTGGAGACTAGATGCAAAAGTGTGTCTATTCCATTTTTCAAAAAAAATGAGATGGCTATTGATTCTGAAAGGTTATTAAATTCTCTTCATTTCTCTTTAAGTATGGATTCTCTTACGTTATTCAAAACCCTTGAAATTGTAACGTAAAAACCATGGTAATTTCCAAAAGTGTGTCTGTTCCTAGTTCAAGTTATATTCAAAACTCGCCTAATCCGCTTTCATTTGCAAAAGTGTACCTATTCCTCTATTTATGACGCAAAACTCTTCTATTACATTTATTGAAACTTTCTCTCTCTCTCATCAAGTTTTTGGCGCCATATATGCCACCAGACAGAGTTTTTGCAAATGCAGAAAAAGCTATAAAGAAAAAAGAAACTATAATAGAAATTTCGGAGTACATAGAAATATATGAAAAATTGGGCACAGTAATACTTTTTGGAAAGGATTGTCCAGTATTTAATTGGAAAGAAAAAGCCATTGAGGTGCTGAAACCGACAAATCAATGGCATTTTAAATTTAATTTATCTAAAAGGTTTTTCATAAGGGCAACACACAAGAAAAAAAATGTTGTTATCAGAGGTGAGGCATCGTATAGATCAGATCTGACTGAATTTAAAGGCATAATAAGGAAAGGCAGAAAATTTGCAGAACTTAAACCGAAATAAAAAGAAGTCGGGAATGTTGTTAAGACGGAAAAACTTAGCGATGTTGAAAAATTGTTACGGCATCATTTTGGAGATAATTGGAAAGAAATGGAGTTTCTTAGTTTTTATAAATCTGCTATAGAAAAACCACAATATGGCGCAGTACAGAATCAAGAAGACGAAATTTGTCAATGCCAAGAAAAAGATGTTGAATTTCTTATTAACATGCATAATAATAAATTGACTTTGCAAAAAAAAAATAGATTATAGCAAATAGTTTTATTTACTAAAATGTAATTAAAAACAAAATTCAGACTTATTTTTTTTCATTTAAATAACCCAACATATATTTAAAAATGTAATTAGCGCTCTTCTAAAAGCAGTTTAATCAGTTTATGACATAATACAAAGTACAAGAACAAGATGGTTAATCCAAAAAAATTATTTAAATTTTTTTTTAACTTCAAAATTTTTTTTCAATTAAAACTTCTTTTGTTAAAGTTCCTCTTCTGTTAACAAAAAACTTGGGCTGAATAAAATATTAATTAAATATAAAAAGAAATTAAAATATAAATCAATACATACATACATATGTACATTATACTCGTATGTTATACACAAATTATAGCCAGATGGTGCAGTTATTATCGTGTTCAGTTTCCTTTTATTTTAAGTGTATATAATGCTTACGAACTAAGACATTGCAACCTGTTTTAAGGCTTATGTAAAAGAGAACGTGACGAGTGTGAGTAAAACGACACGACATTTTTTGTTTTAAAATTTAAGTTCATGTTCATTTCAAATAATTATTCATTAATTGATTACTGCTAGTATATGGATTATAGATGTAATTTTTTAGCACTTTTCCAAAAAAAAATTTGAAAAAAAGTGCTTGTTAGTTTCACTTTTTATCTATCTTCGCCCCAAAACTCTAGAAATATCATTTTTTAACTATTTATTTTAGTAGAACAATATGCATTTTTCAAATTTTGCATTTTGAAAATTTTTCCAACCTCCACCCCCTTTCAACTAATCACCTCTTGAAAATTTTAAAATTTGAATATTTGGCACCTTATATATGCAAGAACGCAAGCTTTCAAAAAAATTCTATACAATTAAAAAATATAATTATTTTTCTTAACTCACACAATTAACCCTTAAAATCGAGCATTATGTTAAGCCCTCTTTAAATTAAATTTTACTTTATTTCAAAGTCTGCATAAATCGTTCATCCTAACTATCTAATTATATGCAATCCTAGAAATAGTTTCGTAGATGAATTTGTTTTAGGTGAAAAAATCCCGAAAGACGCAGAAGAACGGCGCTACCTTCCTTTTTTCTCTGACAGTGGGGGGCGAAACTTCTACCCTAAAAAATCACCTAAAATCTGAACGAATCGGCGTTACCGGCGTTTTTACCTCGGCGTTAATTTGGTCTTTCCATACAGGAATTAAATACCTTCCATAAGGAAATTGGTATTTTATGTTAAATCGAAAGGTCTTGTTCTTTAAAGTCTTTCCATCATAACGCCATTGTCTAGCCGCCGCGGTGCTTCCATATTTGCATGCTGTTCTACACGAGCCCTATGCTTAGTAGCACAACTCCCAATATCATCCACATCCAATTGTAGTCACTGTTACGCATATACCATTGCGCATTTACCATGCCTCGTAGAGGTTTGAATTTTGTTAATGTGAGTTTTCTTGGCACAAGAACACAGTTGAATGCAATATAACCATATTGGTATAATGGTATGGTTTTAAATCAATTTTTTATTATCAATTGCCAAATACCACGCTCATATTATAATACGAAAATAATTTTCTTTATATTTATTTTCTAATTCTATGAGTTTCTTCTATGCTCTTTCCACCTTAGCTTGACGTCTAAAGTCATTCCTAGGTATTTTGCTGAGTTATAGATTCGTTCGTTCCATTTAAGTTAATTTGTGGTGGATTCACTGTTTTTCGATTGGTGAAGTTTATGTGAATCGATTTTGCTTCATTCAATTTCATTTTCTAATCTTTCGTCTACTGGCTTAATCTGTTACTTGCCTCCTGTAATTTTTTTGTCGAATCGTTAATGTTCGATGCTACCGTCAATACTGCAGTATCGTGAGCAAAAGTGGATACCGGAGCGTTTTCTACTTGTGGTAGGTCACTCGTGTAAAGCAAGTACAATGTTAGACCAAATATACTGCCTTGAGGTACACTTTATTTTCCAAGCTCTATAATATTCGTTATTCTATGGACTATGGACCTACTGAGATTGTAGAATGGTTTCTTCTAAATCCAAATCGATGGTTTGATATGAGGCTCCTATTTTCTACTATTGGTTTCAATCTCCTTAACATCAGCTTTCCAAAAAGCTTAGACATCATTGGTAATAGTGAAATGGGTCTGTAAGACTTTGTTTCCCTCAAGGATTTCCCAGGTTTGGGCACTATACTTACTTCTGCGACTTTCCAAGCACAAGGAACACACTCAAAATCTATAGCTGCATTCATGATTTTAATCAAATGTTCTAATGTCTCGTCTGGTAGCTCTCTTAGTACTCAGAAAGTAATAAGATCAAAACCTTGCAATTTTTTCAACTTCAAGGATCTTATTTCTTCCGCAATTTCTATTTGAGTAAGTGGAGCTATGCTGCTTACTTCAATTGCGGCAGATTCTAATAAACTCACATTTGATGTTATTCTGCTTGGTGTGGATATGCTTTCAAAGTGATCAGCAAAAAATTCGGCTTTCTCTATATTGCTCCTCG